TTTACCTGAAGCCAATTCACCAGTGCTGTTACATCTTGGAGTTAGGTTGGCCAATTTCCTGCCATTTGACCTAACAACTTAGAGACATCTGAGTGACAGTGATAATATGCTGAACTCGCTGTATGGATGGTCTAATGTCTGTCACAACATGAAAGGTATTCATTTAACAGAAGCAGATAAACAAGACATTTGCATCTGATTGATTGCAAGAGTTGGGGAGGGTGGTTTCCTCTCTTACTCAAAGATAAAAAATATTTACATTGAATAAAATTTACATTGAATAAAATGATGTGATTATTCCTCTCATCCATGTGTGGGGGTTGGGAATGGGTTTCTTACCTTTAACAGCTTTATTAAGATATAATTCACATAGCATATAATTCACCCACTCCAAGTGTACAATTCAGTGTTTTTTAGGATATTCAAAGGGTTATGTAACTATCACCACAATCTAATTTTAGAGCATTTCATCTCCTCTAAACCTAGCACCATGCTTACTAGCTGTCATTTCCCACCTTCTGTACCCCCTATTCCTAGCCCTAACCAACCTCTAATCTACTTTGTCTCTATGGAATTGCCTGTTGTGGGCAATTAACTTTTAATTGCCATTCATAACCTGTCTCACTGAAATTATTTTAATTTTATTGCTTTACATTATAAGAAGAACAAGAACAATAGAGCCCTTGAGAACATGAATGGGCAATGAAAATATTATAGCAGGATAACCCACAAAAATATTGCTGAAGTAAATAGCATCCAATGACTTAAATAAATAATTGTCAAGCAGTGAAGCTGTGGGATGGGAATGATGACAGACTGTGGTAGCATGAAGAGTCCAATGCTGATAATTTTAAATAGAAACTTGAAACAGGCTTGGTTTGCAAAAACTATTCTTGTTCCTAAGAATTGTAATATTTGCAACCAGGAATATTTGCAAATTCAAAACCTGCCTTCACTGCTCACCAAGTAATAGAAGTTTTGTAAACTGCAGTTTCCTCATCTGTAAAGTGGGAATAATGATGGCGCCAGCCTCACAAAGTTAGTGTGGAGATAGCACCCTTAGAGCTTTTAGAACCAAGCCTGGCACTTCATAAAGTGCTCAATAAATGTTAGTAGTCATTGTATAACTTTTGTTCAGAAAAAGTCACTAATTTGGGTCAAATTCCAAAATGGAATTCTTAGGTATGTCAGCTGCCCCTGGTCACATGTGACTAGTATTTTCAAAGTCGCTATTCAGAGATGTTTCAAGAGTTAAGATACTGTTAGAGAGAGAAAAAATAGCATTGATCAAGTAAGATTAATAGAACTGTAAACTAGCCTACAGTTGCTTTAGATCCATGTGGTCTATAAATAGTAAAAGTGCTCATTTATTATTCTCACCTAATGCTTGAGTAACAGATTTTCCTTTTCTAAATTAAAGAAAAAATTAACAGCTACCAAAAACTTATGTAATGGTATTGTTATACATGTCTAATCAAAATTAAAGAATAGTGTTAAAGCATTATAAACCACATATAACCTCTGTAGCTGAAATGCTTAATAAGACCCTAAATGTGTGACTTTTATATCTGTGAGTGAACACTGAAGTGATTTGGTTTTCTGTCCATAAATGTAAGGCAGTATAACCACCAATGATTCTATTATCTTCTCTCTACTTCTGATATAAAATGGCTTTGGGTAATAAAACTGATACATTAGATAATCTTATTTTTTAGGAATTATTATGTATTTCCTGTTCTTTAAAAAAAGTATTACTGTGTCCCAATCAGATGACTCATGATACACAGCATTTTCATACTTGGGAAACGTTAACACATTACAGTCCTTGCTTTGAAATGATAAAAGAATTAATCACAAGATGACACATTTTCATTTTCCTTTGACCCCATGAGACAATTTAAATGATGTGGTTTGCACGTGACCCATTTTGGCCTTGAAAGGCCTTGGCATTTTCCATCTGTGTCTACATTTTAACTCAGGCTTTACTCCTCTCGGCATTGTTTTGTATTTGCATGAAAATGTGTAACTTTTTTTTTGCATGGTGAATCATCTGTAATGTTGAAGTTAAATGTCTAACATATCTTGCAAAAATCACATGCCATTAATTCCTACATGATTTTTTTTCTTTTATTTTCAGTACTGAAGTTTAAATATGCTTGAAATGTAAAAGTCACATGAAACTGGAGTGATGCAAGAATATTTAATGTTCCTTTAAGAACTTACCATTTTTAACTGGGAAAACCCCCCGTGGGCGGGTTCCCAGCTTTGTCTTTGGACATCAGTCTTCAATTATACATTGTGATAAAACTATATTGAACATAAATGCTGTCAGCAGAATAATAAATTCAAAGCGAGGCTTCTTTTTTCCCCTAAGATGGTATTCCTAGTATTTTAATATGAAGCCATAAAATATGTCCCTTAATTTTGGAAATTATTAAATATTTGATTTACTGTTTTTCTTAAAGCCTTATTAATGGCACATGAAATTAAGCCCCATTGAATTTGGTAAAAGTTCCTTGTAACTGAATTACTGAATGACAGCACCAAAATTTTAGTACTTAATGTTTCCCAAATGAACATGACTACCAAAATGGGTATTTGATATAGGAGTGCATGAGTATACACAGAAAATAAGTTATTTACACCATTTTGTCATGCTTCAAATCCAGAAGGGCATGGAAACGATTCTCACCAATGGACCAGAGTACATACATCCAAACAAGAGCCTTTCTGCCCAGGTAGCCACCTTGCTGGCTCTACATTTATTCCTACCAGCTGCCATTGCTAAAACTGCTCTAGAGTACCCTTGTAAATTACCTTTCAAGTGTTCGGCACATTCATTTCCGTACCTATGTAGTAACAAATCTTGTTCTTTAGAGATTCTCCAAGCCAAATCAGTCAAATAAGAATGGTGATCAAGCTGGCAAATTTTTTAAATGATATGTGAATATGAAATTATTAAGACTTGCTTGTAAAAGGACTATGAAGGTATTTCCTAAGGAAGAACTCCACAAAGCATTTACATAACAGCAAGAGTGGGAATAAATGGAATTGTCTTAAGGGGCCTTTTAGGCAAGCATATGATATTTACTTGAATACAAAAGTTCTAGTTTATGTATTATATTATGTATATCAGTGTTATTTTTCATGCAGCCTTATGTAAGCTGGTGGAGTGATTTACATTTTTAAAATAGCCCTTATGTTATATTTTGTCATGTCAGAATATATGACATTATTTCTGCCTTGCTTGAGTGAATATCAGGTTAATACCTTTTTAGCAGTAATTTTAACAAATTTCGGTTGACAACATCCTGGCTGTCACCAATGAGCTCTGTGATATTGGCAAGGGAGTCAATATCTCTGAGCCTCTTGCCCCCTGTCTACAAAATGAGGGCTGGTAGCTCAAATGTCCTTAAAATCTCTTTTGAATGAAAATGTTATAATTACGTATCTGTGTGTGAGACTGTAATGATCATCTATTATAAATCTACGCACTTCTCTGTGTGTTTTTAATTAAATCCAAGCTGAAGTAACTCAGATTCAAGTTATTACAAATAACATCCAGACACTGACGGGCCTCGTGTCTTTAATAAAGCCTTTTCTACCTGGTGATAATGACGACGATAAGGATGATATTTGTACAGCACTTTACATTTACACTGCCTTACATAAGTCTCACATTCCAAGAACTGCTATCACTACCCTCATACAGGTGAGGAAGGTACTGAGGTTCAGTGCCCTGTCTAAGGTGATGGACGGGCACCTAGAGAGGCGGAGACTTTGGGTCCTGCTTGCCACTTAAGACTCTACTTCTCCATCATCATTTATCTGCAACCAGTCTTTCATTTAAGAGACAATTTTCCAAGAATTTTCCAAGGTGTCCTTATTCAGGATTTACTCTCCCTGAAAATAAAATCTACCTTTAGGACCCTCAGGCACCTCTTTGGACGACCTGCTTGCGTCACTGCAGCTCTCTCTGCTTTTACAAACTAGTTGTTTTGTCAGCATGAGTGTGACAACAATTAGACGTCCCCTGTTTTTGCCCCATGCCTTTTCTCCTTCACAGTCATTCAATGACAAGCGTAAAAAGAGCTTCATCTTTTCACGAAAATTCCCATTCTACAAGAACAAGGAGCAGAGTGAGCAGGAAACCAGTGATCCTGAACGTAAGTAGATTCTCAAGTAGAACGTCACATGCAACATTAAGAGAAAAAAATCCTTCACGGGCAACACGCACGATGTAGGCTCCACCACACCACACACCTAGGCAAACCAACACGGCAGGCAGGCAAGAGAGGGCTTACTACTGTGATCAGTGTTTGGCTGTGGTCTGGATCCTTCCCTTGACGTGGTTCTTCTTTGCAGAATGCCCTGGAGAGGCCTTCAGGAAGCTGGGACTTTGTTTCCTGCCAGCGTTTATCCATGACCAGGACTGGCTCTGGCTTGCCTTTTCTATCATGCAACTCTCTAAGGGCTTGAGACAAATTATTTTCTGGACAGAAATACTGGCTTCCATGGCCACATATATTTTTTGGAATGCTAGCTAATTGGGAGCGATGAAACTCCCTACGTTGATGACTAGCGCGCTTGCTCACTGTCTCCCTCTCGAGAAGTGTTACTGAGCAGTGAGCATGTACGGATGGATACAAAACGGAAGAATTTGCCCTGAAACTCAGAGTGGATCATTGCTTCACATGGTATGTTTCAGTGGCAACACTGATTGTGGACAAAATGGCATTTGCTGAATCTTTCTCTTATTTATAACAATCTTCTAATTTTTTTTTCCTGACTTGCAACCTTTTGAGTTGCTTTACAAATCTTTGCGTCTCAGCCCAGGGAGTTTGGGGTGAAATCTGTCTCAAAAGAAGAGAGTGGGATCCAGATCGCTTAGGCAACACGGTCTGTCATGGTAGTATCCATTTCAACTCCACTGACTTCTTCCTTCCTCTTCCGTGGCTGTTCTTCCTCTCTCATTGCTCTCTCTGGGGACTTCCATGCAGGACATCCCCGGATTAGGTGACGACGGTTATGGAACAAAGACTCTGAGTAAGTTCCCAAGGAATGGTCTCTGTAACTTTTCTTTTCTTTTCCTTTCCTTTTGAGTTTGTTTTGTTCCTTTTCTTGAGGGCCTTTCACTCCTAGCATGCACAAGATACAAGTTTTATTTGTTACCTAGCTGTGAATGCTCCTACAAAGTAATTTTCAACCGTTTTGTTCTGCATGTCAGCATTTAAAAGCAAAGTGTGCCAGGCACTGTAACTTCTGTTGCAGTTCACACCTTCCCTTTCTGATCATGTGATGTGACCAGCATGGTCCGGATGCCAACACAGCATTCCTTGCTCTGCTGCCTAATACCCTCCCAGAGAGCAAGAAGCCATGTTGAAAGAAAGGGCAAGCTGAATGTTCTAGAACAGGAAAGCAGAAATGTACTTCATGTCCTTACTTCTGCTTTTTCACCCAGAAATATTGAATGACCTTGCCGAATTCCATGACTGGGTTGTACTTTGCTATTAGTAAAGGAGCTGTTTTATAGTCAAAAGGTACATGCATTCTCAAAAAGTGAACATTAAGCTATTTGGTCTTGTGTAAATAATTCTTTGTTATTAACTCTGATTGATTTTTTTTCTGACTTGCAGTGATCCTGCTTGAAACGTTTGTATGATAAATTTTAGCTACATATTAATATGTTTTCCTATCAGTGATTTATTAGCTGCACTACATAATCAGGTCTTCATTTTATAGTAATAGAGTGGAAAATAAAGTATGTTAAGCCTTTCAATTTTCTAGTTATAAATGCCTTTAGTCTGAATCTCCCTGCACTGAGCAGTAAAAAATAATGATCTTGTACATTAATATGCTGTGCTATGATTTTTCTTTCTTTAATACTAACCCCATTGTGTACGCACCAATGAAATAAGAACAGAGTTTTGTGTCTTTTGCAGCTGTAACACATGTTCATTTCTTTTGTTCATTTTGTTTTGCTTTGATTTAACAACTACAGGAAATATTTTCAGAAGCCGTTCATTTCATTTACATAAAACAAATAGCACTGAGCTAGACTTTGTTTTCAAGGGCTGTTTGTATAATCCTGTGTAATGATAACTTTCGTCCTTCAAATTGTTACTTTGGACTTTTTTTTAAAGAATTGTACATATAGAAAACACAAATCTGATCAAGAGTAACTACTGCTCTCATTAAAGATGAAAACTTTATCTTTGAGTCTCTTATGGAATAGGTCATGAAAGTTTTCTTGAATTAGTGGCTCAAGTTGAAATACTGATTTTGACATTATCTGAATAGCATCAAGTCCACCAGAGAGAGTTTCTAAATTTTCAGTTGGGGGAAAGGAAAAGAAACATTTTAATATGTTGTCAATAAATGAGCATCACTAAAAAGTGTTGCTATTAGAGTCAAAAATATGAATGGTGCCCTTTTGAATCCAGAATGTGCAAATTTTTGTTTACTTTTTAAAACTTGAACAGATTTCACTAGGAAAAGTGATTTGCCAATTCATGCTATTGTTGGGCAAAATTTGAAACATTTTTTCAATTTCTCTTTACCTACAAAGTTGAAGAATTCTGATACGATATCTTGATGCTAAGAGAGAATGTTTTTTAAATAAAATACTTCCTGGTTCTAAATTTCTCCGTATATAGTGAGGCTTCATGCTAAATATTTTTAAAAGTCAAAAACAAAACAAAACAAAAAACCCTGTCATCCCCAGTTCAATGTACTTATCAAGATAATCATGCAAATGAAGATACACCATTATTGGGGTGTGTGCCTTGACTTTTCAGTAGCAGAGAACATGTCTGTTCTGATACACCCACACTTCTTTCTCTAGTGCCCCTTTACACATGTAAAATGTGTGCCTAAATTTATGATACAGTTCCAATGATACACCAACACAAAGAGAGATGATTCATGTGAATTTAACCCATGCTTTTGTTTTCATTAGTTTCATGCTCTGAAACTAATCCATCCAGGATGCAAATTAACTTGACTGTGGGACTCCTTTTACGATGTATCAGTGTATCAGATCATCACGTTGTACAGTTTAAATGTATTACAACTGTTTGTCAACTAACCTCAAAAAAGCTAAAGATAGAAGACAAATTATCCAATTGGCAAGAATCTATAATATGAAAATATTTTAAGATACTTTTTTACTGAAAAATTTTATATGTTCTTTTCCTTTTTCTAAAAATGTACAATTGTCACTTTTTAAAAAGCTGAAGTAATTGCTAATGAACCTCAGAAACCAAGTATCACATACTCTTCACTTAATTAACCTGATACTATAAAGGACTTGATCCATTGATAAATTTATCTTCTATAACTTAATATACAGTACAGATGAGAGGAAGTGATTTTTGGAAATAAAAGCTCTAAATCTGGCATATGCAGCTCTGTTAGCTAAACTGTGTTTTTCTGAAAAACTATTTGAAATATCACAGTACAAGCAAGTCATTCAACATGAATTAAAAACATAATTCATGCCAGAAATCTGTGCTTGGTATCAGGCCATTTATCTCCTGCCTGTTCCATTCTTCCAAAACCCCTATAGCTACCAAAGCAAGAATCTTAAAATAAAAACAAGGAGATACCGAACTGATTCATAATACACTTCTCAGTGACTCATTTCTTCCTCCAAGATTTTCTACTCACTCATGGAAGCGAGAAAGACCTTCCACAATCCCATTTCATCCTGAGAATTAGTTTAGATACTTTTAAATAGAAATAAAATTCAATGGCTTCCGGGGATCAGATTAGCCATTTGAAATGCAATAGTCCACATAATGCCTAAAGGCTGACACAGAGAAACAAAAAGCCTGCAGGAAAACAGTGCCTACACACCAGAAGCTCCTGAATTTATCATCGAGAAACATCCATATGAGACACACTGACCTTTGTAACACAAATCTGGAAAACCTGACCCCTATGAATGGGTCAAAGTATTGATTTTTTTTAAAGTGCTTGGATTGACATTATACATTTTTTTTGTAATGAAAGATACCTTCCTGTTGGCTAAAAAGAAGATACAGCAATCAAGTAGCAGTGTCCTGTGAAGTGGAGATAAAGTTTTCATCTTTTTCGTCTAGTCTGAGTTTTCTAAATGCGGTCTCTTCTGCAGATTTTCACTTGCCTTTTGCTCACCCTTGTAGTAGCCTTGCATGAGTGTATTCCTTTAAGTTCTGGCTGCTCTCCAATGCTTGGTATCTCTTTAATTTGCTGTGCTGTTCTTGCAGAACATGCTTCTTCTAATGCCAGCGATAGCGAAAGTAGCTGCCGTAAGTGATCGCTTTGGTTTGTGGTTCTTTCCTTTGCAATTGCTCCATTGCCTGTGGTGGTCATTTCAGAGTTTTTTGCTGCAACTGTTTTTCAAATTGCTGCCCTTTTCATCCTCATCCAAAGCAAATGGCTTGAAATGAAATCATCGTTTGATGTGGAAATGCACAAAAGACACTAGGGCCGTCTGTGGACTCCTGTGTGATTTGTGCCAGCAACACGGTCTTGCTAACACACAGTTCCCACCTCAGCAGGCTGTGGCCTGGGGAGACAGTTCTCCTGGAGAAAGTGGGGGGAAAGTTCAACCTGGTGGATTTTGCTGTGCTGCCCCCCAAATAATTTATTCTCCCTGCAGGAGGGCTGTAAAGTCATTAGAGTGCTATTTTCCTTCTCAGTGTGCCCTTTCTTTCTATTTCTGACTCCCCTTTACAAGAGCAATCTTTATAGGTTACACTATTCCTTTTTAACTGAGCATGAACCTTTTATATCTCTTCTCTCCTTGATTAATATTTTAAGGTAGATACTGTGAGATATCTAGCTTTGTATTTTTGATGGTTGGGAAGTGATGAAAAAGTTTCATCCTCTCATGTTGAAGGAAGTCACTTTTTTTTTTTTAAGTGAACCGATCTTGAATCAGAAAGCTTAATGAAAAGGTAGGTAACAACTTAAAAATTATGTCTGGTCTTTGGTCAACTCAAGCCATTTGCTTAGTGTATAAAAAGATTCACCAAACACCAAGCACATTTTTTTGATCCATTCTTACCGGGTCTGGGTGACTAACATTGTCACACATTATCATTGGGATCCTTACAATTTCTGTAATGTTTATTTATTCTCCTTAGTGAAATGGGCTACTCAAAATGCAATTGCCAGGGATAGTAGAAAACTGCAGGCCCAGTACATATGACCCACAGCTACCAAGACAGAAATCAGTTGTTGTTTTTTTCCTTGAATATTGTATTAATTGAAAACTGCAATCGTTTTTTAGTTTTTTTTCCATGACAGCATGGTACTTCCCTGTTTTTGACATGGGGCATCACACAGTGTTCTTAGTATGTGAGAAATTCAATTTGGATTTTGAGAAAGGATTTGGAGAATCAGATTGGGTGACAAACAGGAAAAAAATCACAGAAGAGGAAAGGTGGAAGGGAGAGGTAGGGTCCAAAGGAGGAAGAGGAAATGCACCAGAAAATGAAATGAAAAAACCTGTGATAAGATACCCTTGATCAATCAAATAATATGAGAACCACTTCTTCCTCAACAGCATTTTACTAATGCAAGGACTCAGAGGATTCTTGTTCTCAACATGGTCTTAATACTTTTATATTCTTCCTACTCTTACAATTTTATGATTATCCCAACTTGGGGAAATACTTGCCTCCCCACTCTCTTCATTTGATTTTAAAACAGAAACCAGGCCAAGAAGTGACCAAAGATTGTCCTCTGGACTGACACCTGAGGTACCCTTAATTTACTGTAAGGAAAAATGTGACGTGTGTTCAGTTTCATGAAGACCAATACCCCTAATTTCTTTGATGCCCTAGTTTTAAGTGTTGTGCTTCCATCTTGTAGAAACTGTAGAAAGGGGAAACATCAGACCTTATTCTTTCAATCCTTTTTATGTAAAGTACATACAAGAACTACTTTTCCTTTGGAAACCTTTTTTCTCTTCCAGGGATGGGAATATTCTTCCCAGAATCATTATCACAAAAATTGGGCCAAGGGTTTCAGCTGCTTGGCAAGTTTTTGGTAGTGAT